GATTCCTCCACCCTTGTCTTTCCCTTCCCCTGACAAGCCTAGTTTAAAGCCCGCCGGAGGAGGTCCACCAACCTAGAAGAAAAGACACGCTTACCTTTAGAGGAAAGGTGGAGCCCATCCCATCTGAGCATGTCTCTCGTCATGATGTGCCGGTCATGGTTGAGGAAGCCAAAGCCCACCTCGAGACACCATTCCTGAAGCCGCCATTCCTGAAGTCACGGTCTAACTAAAATTTTGTGCCTTATATACAAAGGGTGTTAAGCCTAATTCTGTGGAGTCATTTCAGTCAGCCTGTGGGGCTCCCAGAGAGACCAGGAATTTGGGTGCAGGGCTAGGAAGGGTGGGGAAATTGCCACCAAGTTCCCAGCTTCAGAGCCCTGATGGGCTCATGTTGACAGCAGGAGGTGGACGGGCAACCAATAGTTGTATGTATTTCTCCCCCTCCCCCCATCATCATCATCACCACTGCTCACCCATCTACTCTTGGGCACATCCACATGTGCATTAATGTGCTTTAGTTAATGCTTATTAAATCTAGTACCCTTGAGTGCCTATACACGTGTGGTGACTCTGCTCCAACATATGGTAGTTACTGCACTTCAACAGACTCCAGTGTCTCAGGTATCATTGTCCTCATGCTGAAAAAATGGTGGCAGGAGTTCTTTAACTAAAGCTTGTTTGAGCTTTAGTTAAAGCGCTCCTGCTGCCATTTTTCAGTGTGAGGACTCTGATACATGAGGCGCTCTGGGCACTTTAGAGCGACTCTTGGAACTGCTCTAATTAAAGCACACCACCCCCCTCACATACACTCCCAGAGCATGTGTATAAATGCCCAAGGGGTGCATCTACATGTGCATTTTAATGTGCATTAAAGTGTCACATAAAAACCATGCTTTTTACTTAATGTACATTAAAATAGGTTAATGCACATAGAGCATCACTTAAAAAGCATACACTTTAGTTAATGCACATTAAGGCAAGCTAATTTTCCTGCACGTTTTCCTAGTACCTCAGAATGGAATGAGTCCAGTTCTGGCCTGAGAGGCTCATTGCAGGCTAGATCTGGCCTACAAGAAACCCTGTGGTCTGGGTCTGGTCTGAGGTTGCAGGTGAGTTTGATACCCCTGATATACATATGTAGAAACAGTTATGATAATGCAGTTAAAAATCAGGAAATGCTAAAAAATACAGTCTATTTTCTCAACCTAAATTTTTATGTGCAAGTGTGTATTAAGTTCCTAATTCAGTAACATAGAGTTTTCCTGAATGTGTTATCGCGCATTACTGTGATGGAATTCATGCTGCAAAAATACAGAATGTAGTGGATGTGTCATTGGCATGAGGATGAAGAAGATTAATTTCCATGACTGTAGCGTGTAGAAGCCCTAATCATGGATGAGGATTCCACTGTGTGTGACACTATACATGCACAGAGCAAAAGCTATCTCTGCTCCCCCCCCCCAAAAAGAAAACTTATAATCCAAGTGTAAAACAGGGCAACAGATGGACATAAGAAGACAAGGGAATACTATTCTTTGTTAAAAATCAAAGCAGTTTGTTTCTCTCTGCTAACAGCAGTAGATCACCAAGAGCAATTTTAGCTTTAAAGGTCCCCGCATCTGAAACATTCTAATGTTTGGTTTGAATTAACTTGTTCATATTTTCACTTGTGAATTAGCAATACCCACATGACTAGAATCTGAAGGTTGTTTATTGTAAAGGGCATTAATCTATACCATAAGTAGCCTGGAGGAACAAATCAAATGATATTCAGATTGGATAAAAGTTTATTTTGTTTTAAACTGGCTCTGACTCGGAGTGTAACTGCTGCATTGTATAAATATTAACTCTCTGAAGTGGGCCATGTTTTGTGCTGAGTTGGAGCCATTAAGTATATTGCTTTAGGACTGTATACTGATCTTTGAGCTGTAATCCCAGGTATGAATTACTAGCTAGGTAGTTGGCTGACATCTTGTTTAATTCCTTTAATTCATTTAATTCACTTTGACGTCTTCTCCCCTCCCCTCCCCTTAACAAGCTAGCTGGAAACCATATGCCATGCACTTGCTTATTCTTGCTCTGCTTAGTTACAAGGTTTTGAAACTATCCATCTCAAACAAGAATATTAGTGCCATTACTTTTATTGCAAGGCAAAAGAACTAGAAGTATTTAGAATTAGCCAAGTAAAGTGCAATGCTAAAACCTTTGTCCTAAGCAATGGGTTTTCTGCTTCCACTGGATTTTTAGAGTTGGTTAATATGCCGAGGTAAACTTCTTTAGACTTGTTTTTTTCCAAAGTGACACTGATGCTTACTTAATACAGATTCGATGTTACTATGTGTTTGCCATCCCAAAATATACTGCATCTTGAAACATTGGCTATTTTTAGAATACTTTATTCCAATAAGCATTAAAACTGATGCTAAACATGTCAACCAAGTAGACAGGTATGCTGAACTGATCGAATCACTTCCATTACTTACCTTGAGTCATGAACAAGTTTTCAGATTTCTTTGTGAGCTGATGCTCCCATTTTTACTTGTTTTGCTCTTCAGGGGGCTGGAAATGCTCTTAAATCTCCTTTCACTTGTGCTCTACTCTTGCTCCCCCCCCCCCC